CTAGTTGGAATTTTTGTTTCGCTAACGCATTTTTTCTACAGCTCAGTTGGAAGCCTTCCGTATGATTTATATTTATTCCAATTTAATTAGACAGTTATTCGTTCATCGCGTGGCGTGAGCCGTTATCTTGTTTTCGTTAAATTAAAACTGTGACTGAATTTATGATTGTAATATCATTCGTCAAAATTTATCGATACAAGTAAGTATTGATACTTACGATTCTACTCCATCGTGTCATTCGATACCGAGTAGGCATCGATATTTTTTGACCGGTACAGAATCGAGTAAAAGTATCGATACCTAGATGGTATCGTTTCATCCCTAATTGCCACTGACTGCCATTGCTGCTATGAGATCGACACGCTTACGAGTTCACTAAGCCACTATTAGTTCACAATGAAAGCGATAACTGGCGGTAGAAGATCCCTTTTTATAGGATATTCATAAATTGATATTAATGGTTATCTGCTTCAAAACTAGTCTCAATTAGTTAGATGTTTCGCTCGAAATATTCGAAGCTCACAGTAATAATAATAATATTAATTATCCATTTTTTCATACACAATAATAAAACCCAATAAACAATAAAACCCCCAATATACGTAAAGCTCCTAACAAAATTGCATTTAAGGGATTGGTTTGTGAGCACTATCTCAATAGCATTAAACAGCGTTCTCATATTTGACTGACATAACCATGTATTTATGTATGTATTGTATATATATGTGTGTGTGTGTATGTATGTGTGTATATGTATATATATATGTATATATATGTGTGTATAATATGTATGTATTCTGTTAAGAGTATTTGTATCATTGGTTTATCTTAAATTTGTCTTTATTGCGCCCCCGTCATATTAGATTTTTTCTCACGCTCTTACTGGTCGACTGGTAGAGAATGCCTTATGGCATTATGTCCGCCATTTGCTTTGTAATTTTGCAATAAAGTTTAAGTAAACAGTTTTACAAAATGATATAACAGTCACACCCGTACTAGGCGAAGCCCGTCCTAAGGGGGAAGTAAACAATTTACAATATATCATTTACGGCCTAAAAATACAAACAAATGAAAACTAAAAAGAATGGATACATTGGTGATATGCGCGTATGTATGTGAGTATTTTGTGTGTGTGTGTGTAACTGTGTGTTGTGTGTGTGTGTGTGTGTGTGTGTGTGTATGTGTATATTCAACTTATTATCCTTAAAAGATTCTCTGCTCTGTCATACGACCATTTTAATAACATTTTTGAGATGTTATTTCGCATCTCCCGAACGGAGCTGTGCTTGAGATTCGTTAAGTTAACTAGTTGGTCATAAATGTATGGACCGAGAAAAATACCGAAGCGTTTAATAATCACGAACGTTTAAATCAATAACGTTTAATTTCTAATCACTTCATGTTGAAGTATTTATTTTTTTAAATTGATCTCTTAAATATTATGTCGAAAGACATTACTCGAATTCGGGCACCCGAAGAAATATTTAAGGTGCTGTCACACGATCTATGTTGTCGCAAGCGAGGTCGCGCCGCGCCGGAACTCATCATAAGCTGTTCTTTTCTCCTTGCATTATTGTAATGGCGCGAATACACTTGGTCATTAGCCCGAATATGAATGGAATTCGAATGCCAATGGAATTCGGGTAAACGACTAAGTGTTTATGAACGGATTTGAGTACGCCCGTTTCCGGGTAGATTTCCTTTTGTTTACCCGGCACAGTCTTCCAGCCTATATTCCAATTCTCAAGATCTGTGTTGTAGTGGGCGAGGCCGCACCGCCCAGAGTTGCCAAATGTATGTAAACTCTAACTTCGAGATTAAGTGTCGCTGCACACGGGCCACCGACCACAACCACAAAACGCCGCCACCGGCATATTTCTTGTAGTTTTCATACATTTTATATGGACTCGCCACACACGGTACGCCGGTGGCCGCCACACGTCATTCGCGCGATTTCCCACCCCTCTCTCCCTTACCTTAGTGTCGCCGCATACGGTCCACACGCCACAAACGCCGCCACGAGAAGCTAGAAGCGGCTACTAAAGTGTCTGAAGCGCGTGACAGCGGCCGACTAAGGTAAGGGAGAGAGGGGTGGGGAATCGCGCGAGTGACGTGTGGCGGCGTTTTGTATCGGCGCATTAAGTGGCCGCTGCGAGCCACAAGAAGCGAGCAACGACGATTTGTAGCGTGTGGCGGCCACCGGCGTACCGTGTGTGGCGAGTCCATATAAAATGTATGAAAACTACAAGAAATATGCCTTGTGGCAGCGTTTTGTGGATGTGGTCGGTTTCCCGTGTGCGGCGACACTTAGTCGGCCTCTGTCGCGCGCTTCAGCCACTTTAGTAGCCGCTTCTAGCTTCTTGTGGCGGGGTTTGTGGCTGTGGCGTGTGGCCCGTGTGCGGCGACATTTAGCAGTATCATCCATGGGCGATGGTGATTCTGGACTAGGTGACCGTTTATTAAAAACTCGGGTGAGATCGGGATTCGATGGGAACATGTGGACTTCACCTCCATCTGTAAGTCTCGCATTTCTTCCACATCTCCTTTCGGAAGTTGAGCATCACCTGCATCATCATCAGCCTATTAATGTCCCCACTGCTGGGGCACAGGCCTTCTCTATGGATGGAATAGAGAGTTTGGGCCGTGACCCGCCACGCGGGCCCAGTGCGGATTCGTAACGACTGCAGATGCAGCCGGGACCTACAGCTTAACGTGTCTTCCGAAGCACGGAGGAGCTCGAGATAGTACATTTTTGGTCACCCATCCAATGACCGACCATTGCGATAGTTGCTTAACTTCAACGATTGCAGCTGAACGCGTTAACCACTTGCGCCATTGAGCTCCTCATCATCACCTCCATGCACTCCCTAAATTCGCGCATGAACACCTGTACATTATTTACTTTGTTAACGGTCTGTACGGATTTCGCCGCCTCCGCGCTGCCTCCAGGTCATTGGAAGCCTGCAGTGATATCAGGACTCGTTGATGGTGACGGCGGCGTTCATCTTTGTAATATTGGTATAGAAATCTCAGGATCAACCATAGAAACATTTAGGAATATTCCGTACTTTTTAGGGTTCCGTACCTCAAAAGGAAAAAACGGAACCCTTATAGGATCACTTTGTTGTCCGTCTGTCCGTCCGTCCGTCTGTCAAGACCGTTTTTCTCAGGAACGCGTGGAGGTATCAAACTGAAATTCATACCTTATACTCAGGTCTACTGTCCCTTGGAGCTATGAAAAAATCAAACTTCTAAGCCAAAGCAATCAAAAGATACAGCCATTTATGCCGCAAATTTTCGAAACTCGCACGGGAATCAAAACCTACAGGGTACTTCCCGTGAACTTAGAATCTTGAAATTTGGTACGAAGTAACGTCTTATAGTACAGATAAAGGAAAAATTGCGAAAACCGTAAATTTTTAGTTACATCATAAAATAAAAAATATTTTTGAATATTTTTGTACGGAACCCTCGGTACGCGAGTCCGACTCGCACTTGGCCGGTTTTTTTTGTTGTACGATTACAAAAGTCCAGAATTGGTGTAAACTTAAACATTTGATCTAAATAATATAACAAAATATAACTAGAGAAAATTCCACGCGGACCAGGCAGCAGACGGGACTCGAACCCGCACCCTCCGCAATCCGGGCGAATGCACTGACCAATTTTGCTACCTCCTCTTAAATTCCTCTAGCCATTATTAATCTGCAAGACAGCGCCATCTCTTCGCATTATAGGTAACCCACAATGTCAAATGAATACTTTTACAAGTATTAAACATTTGAAAGAATAAATAGCAATTATAGTTATAATTTTTATTTTTTAAAGCATGTAAATGCTTGGTGTTTAAATCTAAAGAAAATATAACTAGAAAAAAATCCACGCGGACCAGGCAGCAGACGGGACTCGAACCCGCACCCTTCGCAATTCGGGCGAATGCACTGACCAATTATGCTACCGCGGCCCTCACGGACCCCGTCGAAATTCCTCTAGCCATTCTTAAGCTGCAAGGCTTATTATAGCTAGTTATATTTTCTTTACATTTAAACATCAAGCAGTTACCAGCAGTTAGTTATATATTTTTTACAGTTGCTTTAAAAAATAAAAAATGGGTACGTGTACTTATGTAGGCGCGTGAGAAGTTATCCTTCTTTGGCATCGTTTAAAATTAGTTTTTAATTGCATGCAAATAATTAATTACAATAAATTAATAAAAAGTCTGGAAAAGGACACAGTCAATAAAGTTCAGTTTTAATTTGAAAAAATAAATAAATAATCAAAATATTCAATTAAAATCGCTACGGAATATAATTTATTAGAACATATGTGATTTGCACTTGTATGAAACTCAAACACGTATTCCGAATATACAAACTAGAAACATGTGGATAAATATTATAAATATGAATACCTATAACTGTTACTTTATTACAAAAAATAAAGATGTGGTTTTTGGTTCTACTACACCAGTGGTCAAGAGATGGCGCTGTAGTCTCCTGAATCGCGCTTTGGTTCCGTTGTTCCAGATTAATAAATATTTTTGATATTATAAATATGAATACCTATAACTGTTACTATATTACAAAAAATAAAGATATGGTTTTTGGTTCTACTACACCAATGGTCAAGAGATGGCGCTGTAGTCTCCTGAATCGCGCTTTGGTTCCGTTGTTCCAGATTAATAAATACTTTTGATAGGCCTTCACAATGCAGTCGTTAGCACCCACTAAATAGAGATTCTAGTTTGTTGGTAGATTTTCTTAATGTGCGGTAAACACAAAAGTAACGCATGAAGTTGGTCGCAATTTTGTGTTACAGTGATGCGCGCGCATCTTAAAATTTCACTCTCATCATTTTTTCATAACGCGCCTAAAGAAGTATAACTTCAATAAAAATTATAACTTAAACATTTGATTTTTCAAAACAGGCATATTTTATTTTGCTAATAAAACACGACCCAATATTTAATATCTACTTTTCTCCTCCATTGAATCTAAGCCTTAATAATGTCCTGTGTCCTGACCCAACTCGTCTGTTATAAAAGGTTCTGTCCCTAACACGTAAAGGTCTCGAGTTGCAAATGGAGTGGAACGCCCATTGATCCCATCTGGAGGCTAAGAAATATGCCGATGAACTATTGAAAAGCTGAATCATTACTAATTTAAACGGTTGAATCGCTATCCACCACCAGTGGGCTAAAACAGCACCGTCAACTCCCAACTTAGCGGTGAATATTGAATCGTGAACTTCGATTTGAACTTCAGTTACTTAATCAGCAGCTCAGCGGTTAAAATCTCTGGGATTATCAGCATTAAGAGAACTTTGTGAATTAAAAATGTATTACTGCCACTATAATATAGCCAGAGGTTAAAATCTTGATACGAATTCACTTGTTATTGTTGTCGTGTACAAAATGTAAAAGTATTACCACCCACACTAAGTCGAGTAAGTCGTTCGTGACTATCTGTATGTTTGTTTCTCTTTACGCTTCTACGTCTAAAGTGCCAACTGATTTAGATGAAATTTTGAAGAAAGTCAAAGACAACTATTTATAGAAAAATAATAGAACTTAAGGCATTCGCTGCCTAAAGCGGGCTCACGGCGCGGACATACCCTCCGGGAGCAATAATAATAGGGTATTTGACAAGTTTTAGAAAATGATCTCACGTTATTGACTAATATTTATAGAGTCCATAAAAAATGGATATTCATAATTTGTTGTGTATTTCGGTAGAAAAACTAAATCAAAAACTCTATTTTCAAGTTGCCGCGAAAAACGTATCTCTGGACAATATGGCGTCTCACTGGTGTGTGACGTCACACGACTGTTATTAAAACGTCAAACCATACAATCTAATGTCACTTAAACCGGAAGTTTACTTGCGTGTGACCTCATTTCAGGCTCCACCAATCCCAAGCGTTTTGGGTCACGTGACAAAAGACAAGAAATATTATCTTTATCGTGGGTTTTTAGTAAAATTATGAATATTTTTTTTGTAAAACTTAGTAAAAACTCCTGTCAATATTCATTCTAAATACAGATGCTAACAATTGGCACTTTATTTTTAATACTGTCAAATACCCTATTAGTATTAATTTGCTCCGCATGCACCCATTTAACCCTAGATAGCTAACCTTTTGGTGTACTCTATTTAAGCTAACCATGCATCCTTCAAAACATCTTTGTTTGTTCTTTAATATAATTGTGAGTAAAAATGAAATTTGTAAAATTACTTTATAGACTGACAGTAAAGCTAACCCAATCAAAAAATATGATACTTATCTGCTTAATGCGTGCAGCACTGCAGCAGGCTCCTCGACTACTGAATTGGTTAGCTAAGACAACATGGTCGAAAGCAGCGTTAAAAAGATACAGCGATATTTCTTTGAAAGAAAGAAAGAAATAATTTTATTTGAGACAACATAATAATATAAAAAAGAAAATAAAACAATTAAATTTAGTATCAAAACGGTCCCAACTCAGCATAGTGCTAATGTTGCCATTAGCGCTGGTCTTCCGTTGGAACCGGTTTGGTGTCGCACGAATCAATAATAACAAGAACAATAAATAACATAAAAAAGAAAATAGAAAACAAAATAAAAACCAGGAATAAAAATAAAAACAAAACATGCTTGGCTGAATGTATCAAAATATCTTTGCCGCAGCCACTTCAAAAGAGAGAAGAGAAAAAAAAACATTTCTCTCTCCCTCTCCCCACACGCTATGGCAAAAGACATTTCCCACTTAACAAGTTATTATACGCAAATTCTGTCTGCATTAACAAACTAAAACAAAAAAAGAAAAGCACTAACTCTAAAGGGTGGATACTGAAAATACAATTTATGATATTATATGAAAACAAATCTCGGACATACATGCACTGCCTGACGAATCGACGGAGTTTAGCTATTTAGGTTTGATGCAGCGAAAGCCTTTAGAGAGGGTGAATGAAGGGTCATAACGCTTATACAATTTGAAGACCTCCGTAATAGAGTGGTATGAGTTCGAAATCTATTTAAGATCGTATCTTTTGAACAAAGATAGAAATAAATAAAGTAACTGTCACGTCAAAATGAGAAACGAATAAGTACTTACCCATTTAATTAATATTTACTCTCCAAGATTCTAGGAAATGTAAACTCCTTACGAAATTAAGATTTTAGTTGAAACAAAAATAGATTTCTAAGAAATTAAAGTTCAAAATTAGATAATTGAAGCCAACTGAAGTGTGAAAGTCTTAAACTGTGGAGTTGTCCGTTGTGACGTATATAATTATTTTGGACAAGCTTTTGAATTGGAGATTGAAATAAATAATTCGTATTTTCTACGGTAGAGAAGATGTTCAATTAAAAAACTTAATTCAAGTTAAGACGTCGTTTTAGTTCTATTCAATACAGTTTGTATTGTCTGCTGGTTTATTTTTGCTTTTGGAAAGTTGTTCTTTACGTTTAAGGAAAAATAAAATTTGGACAATCAATTCTCACCTTTTTGTTACGAAAGCTTTTGGAAAGAATAATATAAGTAGCCGTCCTTATTTCAATTTGTTCGCTTAGAAAAATCTAGTGCTAACCGTTGACAAAAGAAAGATAGGACTTTATATAATACATCATTTGCCTTTGAAAATGTAACTAAGGTATCATGAGTCGAGATTTTTCGACCCGAGCTCTATGTATAGAAACATAACAGCTATTATGGAGCGGCATGTGTCACTCGCCAAGCAAAGCGACTTTGAGAAAGTTTATGTAACTCCAAAGGCTTCTAGTACAAAGGAGGAATTTGTCTTTGAGACTTACCTACCGTTTTGCTGATGTGCACAAGTATTGACAGTATGTTCATACTTATGGTATGACCACAAAAGAGTTATTCGGGCGTTCAACACGAATTTATGGAGAAAATATCACACACAATTTTCCTGAACATGATTTCAAAGTGTTTAATTTTTTTTGTGGTTAATTTTTACTTATCAGAATGTCAGTGCATGTTCTTGTTAACAAACACTGTTAATATATGGCGAGTTATGTTTGTGAATTATTTATTCACTTAAATCTTCGTGACCAAATATACAATAGTGAATTTAATGCAGTAGACATTCGGTACAGTCAAACATAGAGTGTTGTGGAGATTATTAGTGGTGCAACTGAGGTGGAAATCTAATATAAAAAATATAAATAAGAAAACTAGGAATTTCGCAAAGAAAAGGCACAGAAAAGTAAACGTATCTAATCAAAAGTCCGATTGCTTGAATAAAACAGAGAATTTTTCACTATATCAATTAGAGAAACATTGAAATAATGCATATCAATGAAATAACTCATAATTTATAACATTAATACATACCTCTGGATTTATGGTCGGTGGCATAACAATCTTCTTCTGTGGCGGCGATCTCAGCACGACATTTTCATCCCTGATTATTATCTGTGGCTCCATCGCCAGCAGCTTCTTCTTACATTCCTGCATCTGGAGGCATTCCTTGTCTTTCTTCGATAACACAGATTCCGAAGAAGCATGCTTCGACGAACACATAGACGCATTCTTACTGGACAGTTTCAAACTGTCTATCGACGCGGTCATCTTGGAACTTTCCTTGCCGTTCGACGATGCCATCTTCACGAAATTAGATTACTTTGGTGAGCTCGCGCGGAGTTTCACAGGGCGCATCTCTCGGCCCGAAACTTTTCTTTCATGTTTGCAATGACTTTTAGCTTTGGTTTTCACGATTGGAACTTTGCACTGTTTAGATATGATGCAAATGATTGTGTATTAAAAAGTTACTTAAGTACTAATGAGTAAAAATTTACTCAGTCATTCTTTGTAGATTTTTAAATTTCTGCCTTTTCTTAATAAACAACTAAATGAATTGAATTTTAATTATCTGTTAACATTATCCTGCCCTATCCGATGGCTTAATCCTAAATCTCATTTTTCCTAAGACTTCACGTTAAGTCAATGGCTTTGACATTTAGGTTGAATAATGAACAACTGCCCTCCCAATGACATGGCGGGAAATTTTCGGCTCCAAACAAAACAAGCAGATTAGTGGGTGGAGTATTTTTATTTGGCCTAAGCCATCGAATATTCTAAATAGATAATGGACCGAATTTCAAATTAATCTTGATGACTAATACATTTTGTAACAAAAGGGTCTATTTATTTAATTTTTGGTATTTCTATTATACTGACGGTAATTTAAAAAGTCATTAAATTGGAAATGGGGATAGAATGCTTTTGATAAAATAATAACATTATTGAGGTCTTTTAGCTCGCGGCTAGAAGAATTACGTAGACATAAGAAATGTTGTCATGTGTTAAAGTATAACCCTATTATATATCGGTGTACATGATCTCGCGGTGTATGTTATTGATCATTTATCTATGATTAAGTTAATAAGTATATTTTATGAATTAGTGTTTGTTTTCTTATGTATGTATGCAGAACAGCGCTTTTGTGTACTGCACATTCCCAGATAGTTTACTATTAAGTATTTCAATAGTGTTATCAGGGATATCATATTTTTGCTCATGTCCTTTCTCGTTATATCCTGCTATAACAAGTGTCGCGACCGCCATACTATATCTTGTGCTCATCCGTCATGTGCGAGATATTTTTTATCGCCACGACTCCGTGAAAAATTGCTTTCTAAGTGGCAACACTACGTCTGGGTGTTCACAAGTCACATTGAGGACATGTCGCGACATGCGGTAGGTAGGCGTTTTTGTCCAAAATTTATTATTCTCTATATTACCTCAAGTCACGTAGCTGTAGTAATTTATTTTACCCTGAAGTTATTTATTGAAAATGAGTGTTATCTTGAGGAATTTTAGATTATTAAACCGAGAAAACAAAAACGGCGTCACACACTTTTGTTTGAAAAGTTCAAGAAAAAGGCATATTTTCTATTGGACTAAAATATTTTTTTGACTTGAAGATCTTTTTAACATACCGTTTTTTAAATGTTTCTTTTTTTAACAAGAAATGGTGTTTTATTTAAAATTGAATAATGAATACAGATATATAAATATGACAAACACTCGCTAAAATATTAAAGAACTTGCCTCGAAGTCATAACGAAAACTCTAAAAATAAATTCCAATTTCCTTCATAAAGCCCATGGTCCAAAAAGTAAAAATATATTTTTAATCAACTAGGTAGCTAATTAAACTTCTTTGAACAATTATCTATTCGCAAGTGGAATTCTTTGCCCGCGCACGTGTTACCTCCTTCCTACAGTCTGGTGTCTACAAAAAGAAGAGTGAAAAAGCATTTCTGAAAGCCGGAAAGGTGAAGATGGTTGGTGTGGCTTTTTATAAGATGTCAGATAGACTATGCGTTTATTTTTTCTTCAACATACAAATAAATTTACAGACAGAGTAATACAATAAAAAAAAGAAACAAGAAATCAGCTATGAAATATGTATGCTGCAGAAAGCAAAAGGTCAAGGCTCGGCTAAACATTTGCCAGTTTTAAGGCAAAATACCGATTTTCAGCCATCACCTTTATGAGTGAGTAGACTAGCTTTATTAATAATAAACATTTAAATTTTGCAAGGAGAAAAGAGAAAAAGCCATGACAATGCAGTGGAGACAAACATATATTTACTACAATATAGAGTCAAAAATTAAGTGATTGTTGGCGAGATAAAATTAGATGATATCATACATATATTACACATGATTTATTTATAGTATATACAAAAGTAATATCCGGAAACTGTTTGGCAAACATGGCTACCTGCCCTGCCACACCTGCCTGCATAACTGCTTGGGGTAGTGTCCTTTGCCTTACTATACAAGAAAATCTTCAATAAACATTTCTTTTCCTACCACCAGTCATCATAATTAATTACGAACAAAATAGATTGACCAAATTCAATACAATCCCAACGGTACACATAGATTACGCAAACGCTGATTGATCACCGCAAACAAGCATGGGGTAGGATTGATGAAATATAATACCCCGTGGAGTTTTAGGATTACGGATTCAGTGCGCTATTCGGATTGATGACACAAAACGGATTGAATAATGGCGCCGGTAGATTAAATGCGAATATTGTTGATTGAATAATGAGGTTATGGATGGACTATACTGGAAAAGTAATGATAGAATATTGATTTATGAAGAATTATTCAGCTGATATCTCTATCTACGAGTATAATATAAAAATGAATCGCTGATTTTGTTGCTAAGCGTAAATCTCGAGAACAGCTGAACCGAAGAAAAGTTTACTAGAAAAAAAAATCCACGCGGACCAGGCAGCGGATAGTAGTGGTAGCGCCCGGATAGCGAAGGATGCGGGTTCGAGTCCCGTCCGCTGCCTGGTCCGCGTGGATTTTTTTCTAGTAAACTTTTCTTTACATTTAAACATCTAGCAGTTAAATGCTTAAAAAATAAATAAAATCACAACAGCTGAACCGATTTCGATAATTCTTTTTTTAGAATATTCCTTGAAGTACGAGGATGGTTCTTACGCAGAGAAAAATTAAAAAAAATGCCTGTAAATGTCCAAAAGCAACACTTTTCTATACTCCCATACAAACGATTCGTAATAATACTTAACTTCTCAAGCAATTTGAATTTTAATACCATACCAAAAACTTCAAATGTTAGTGGAGAGATTCTGGGAAGGCAAAACAATTGAGCGACGTGATGTCAATAGAAGTTTGGAAAAAGCAAATATACCATTTTCAGTTTTTTTTATAATTTATTATATGAAGAGTCATTTAAATCTACACTACAGCTCTACACCGAAGCGAAGCGAGGACGGGCCACTAGTATTGAATAAATGATGACATATTATTCTATTAAAAAGTGAACCATTAAGACTGAAAATAGATTATTTTGTTTTTGTCTGTATTGCAAATTTTCTTAATTATAAGCAAACATTAATTTAAACATCTGCACTGGGGCTGCGTGGTGGGTCATGGCCCAATCTCCCTATTCCATCCATAGGGAAGGCCTGTGCCCCAGCAGTGATACTAGTATAGTGGAAGGCTGATGATGATGATGATTAATTTTATATACATGTATTTCAGTGCTATGTAAAAATGAAAATACTGCCTTTTTCTTATATTCTTATATAAAATATAGCGGTAAATGACTTGTCCCACCTCATATTAAGTGTAAGTGGAATCCCACCAAAAACATTCTGTAAAAAACTAGCCAAGTCTCGATAGAGCTGCCTGTTTATCTCTAAAAAGTAATTAAATCTAGACAAAGTCGTGCCAAGTCTAAGGTTCCTTACTACGATTTCTTTATTATTTATCTATTAGACAAGTCCGTCTGTCTGTGGTGCTGTTTCAGCGGCCAAACCGTAATAGATAAAGAGAACGTTTAAGTTATAAGTTAAGAATAGTCTGATAAGACTACAAACCGGATTTGAGTAACGTAGCACTTCCGGTTTTCGAGAAATCAGGTTTTGGTGAACATTTGGTTCACTGGTTTGCTAGTTATAGTTAATGTTGTGTGACTTGGCCGTTGAAGGATACACAAGGGTACAAAACCAGGTGCTACATGACATCATTGTTGACGACTATTAAGTATGTTATTATAGCTTACTGGATGACGAAAATTTCAGCGATCTGGTCTTATCCAGAAGTTCTCAAATAGGGCTCTGAAATTGCGGCGTAATGGTTTCAATAAAGATGGTAAGGCAGTGGTGGCTTCGTGCTCGACTTGGCGGGGGCACTGCCGTGCCCCCCGATCTAGTCGGTAAAGTGTGCCGCATATAGAACAACAGGGAGATTATGGAATATGTGACCGTAACCTATGCTGTAGAGTTCCCGAACACTGCTTAAGGCTCAAAAGACGCGGAATAGGAAGGGCTTTAAGAAGATGTAAACATTGTTTTGGAAATGTCAAAAACGTTTTGGAAATCGAAAAGACCTACTTGTTTTGACTGTAATATTGTTTTTTTTTTGGTTAAGTTCTCCCTTTTCAGGGAAGGCAAGGGGAACAATGCCCATACAGCCTAGTCTTAAGTCAAATTATTCTGTTTTTCTTTTTACATTAGAAAGTCGGTGTGACGCATTCTAATGTTTCTTGAAGTGTTTGACACGAAATGTATCGAGCTGGCTTTTTCGATAAGCTTCTGTGACGTAGTCAATACTACAATAAAATTCAACGTCCACTTGACCGGAATAGCGTATATTTTGACGATTCTACTAATTCTTCAGTTACGCAGACAGTTGTAACACAAAATCACACCAATTTTATTTCACAATATCCACTATGAACGAATTTAAGAATAATTAAAATAAGACGTCAACCACACTCGATGATATCCCGCCAAAAAACCCCTGTAATATTGTATTTTTTCGCAGAAAATTTCCGATATCTCGAGAACGGGGCCGAATTTCAAAATTATGAAAAAAATGCACCTCAGTATTGAACCAAGGAACATTTTAGGTCATTACACTTTTTTCGATATTGGTGACGGTTGAGGCTGTAGAGGTGTCCTTAGCCGCGAGTGTTGCAAATATAAATATACTAGCTGACCCAGCGAACTTCGTACCGCCATAAAAAAATAGGGGTTGGTGGTAGAAAGTTGAAAATTTAGGGATGTATGTATTTTTGTATGATGTATCATAAAAAAAATTAAAAAAA